GCCCATAAGAATATATGTTCAGCCACACAAGAAATATAGTTACGATGTGAAAAAACTGATGGACAGCATGAAGGTGCTCCAACGACTAACTGAAAAATACGAGAACGAGATTACGTCATTTCACTTTTTACAAGAACGCTATTTTTACTTTTTTAATTCACTCCTCTACCTGACAAACTTGCTACCGTATGCAGGCTACGAATCACCGGAGTTCGTTATTAAGCAGTACGAGGACGTCGTTAAGACCCGAGAAACGACAGGTCTCATTTTGATGATCGCGTTATCTGCAGCTTCATGTTTAGTACTCTTCTTGATGATGATTGGCTTATTCCTGGCTCGCAAGCGAATTCGCGCTTCTCTCCTCACGTCAAATATCGCCATAAAATAGTTGATCGTTTGAAGCAGTTGCGGTAGCGGCGATCGGTCACTTCTTGAGAGTCTAACAAGTTTTTGCGATATTTTGCTAAAGCATCTTACCGATTCGAATAAATCGAATGCAGCCTTTTCGGTACTGCGTCGTCTGATATCAATTATTACTACAATTAACTTTCTTGATGTTGTCTTTTTTGTACACCACGATTTAGTGACTGTATCATTATCAGCCTTACTGAAGAACGTCATAATTAACGAGCATACAAAAACGTCACATTATCCCACGGAAAATGTGATGACATGCCAATGAGTACTCCAAGATCCAAGTTTTCTAAGTCAGATGCGAATAGCAACTATAAAACCATCAGTCACGTCGTATTGCACCGTCCCTCGTGCCTGGTTTTCTGGAGGCAATCAGCGGCGGCTACTTTTTCACGTTGCGCCATAAACAGCTCAGTGCCACACATAACGCTATTATTGGCCAAACTGTTGCAATATACTCGAAACTGCTGGCTTTTTTACCTTCGTATAGTTCCAACGATAGACAACAACTGCTTATTGCTTAAGCTAAAACACGACGGACATCGCCTTTCAGAAAAACAGTAACAAAGAAGAAGTAGAGTAGGCGGACCCTAAATGAAACAGTGTACACGAGCTTCACTCATGAGTTTATAAAAAACACACCTAGAAGTTTTCAGCGAAGGCAAGTTTGAAAACTTATGGGTAGGGTAGACATCGTGCAGTCGTTGGGATCAGGGGGTTGCTGTGGCTGTAAATTCGTGCATGGATATTGTAGTGAACTGCTCTTGTAGAACGAATGTTTGAACGGCAAGATTAAAGACTACTTGTAAGGGATGTCCTTTAGTATCTTTCATTTATATGTTCAAATCTGATTTAAATGATTGGTTCTGCCTCTGACAGTGCTGTTGTACACTGAGTTGGAGACTAACAGAGTCCCTTAGGAGACTGCTACCGTTCTTTTATTCAGTGTAAATTGGAAATTATGCAGGATAACCTTGTTTCTGTCGCTCACTGACGTTTACACCTTCTTCGTTTTTTGAAACGACTATTATATCCATGACGTCTAATCAGTCATACAGTTTAGCAGCACACACGACAATTCTTGGTCTTGCTAATCTGCATTACTGATGCTGAAAATAGCACTTTCTGTACTGATTTCCAGCGTTCTCGGCTTCGCATTCAAATATGACCTGGTAAGCATGCATAAGAACATGTCTAAAACCTATTGCGCGGTGTTTTCTTGCCCGTTTGGTTCTGCAGCTGAACGGAGATAGAACGGAGCAGGTCGAAATCCTCTCGTACCCCATAATCGTGTTTGCCGGAGATGGCAAATGATCGGAATAGGAAAACTGTTGGACTACCATGGCCAAGAACTTTCTGGTGTACTGGTTATAACTGCTCAGGTAATGCATAACTGTCTGAGCTCAAATCGTTCTCCATCCTCATATTCACCCATGGTCGTGAATCGTGAGTCAAGACTAGGAAACCTCGACCTCGTGCATAAGCAGCTCACATGAGCTTTTTAGAACGAATCGCTTAACTGAGGCGTCGGGACGTTGTTTAAAGTTCAGATACATGAAAAAGTTTTGGTGAGCAGCCACTGCTTATGCAGCTACGATGGTTTTGGAATGCCCTTCAAATGCTTCCTTAAAGAAGTCCAACACTGCTATTTGTTCGTTTGACCAGCCAAAGACCCCGGGGATGCCCACAAATACGCCGGAGCAAGCGCCTGAAGGTCTGTTCCGATTCCGGTTATCATCTGTTGCTGTCAAATTGCTGGAGCTGCAAAAGTTAGAGACACTCTGACGCGTCTGCCTCACTGACCGGCACAGAGAAGCTGTAATCGAAACTGTCCGATGTCAGATTATTTAAATTACTCAAAAATTACTGAAAAACAGCTCTAATTAGAGTATGAGTACTTGATTAACGAATAATATCCGCAACGACGTTTGATCCGAAGATGGCGAATCACCTGTGAGCGGGACAACTTTATTAGAACCGACTCTTTTGAAAGACGAGAAACAAAACGATGCGAGGCTCATGACTTCTAAAGCAAAAGTCAGGTCTAAATTTTGAGATGAATAACAAGCCAGCAGCGATATAAAGTTAATTGGACAAGAAATGAGAGAAAAACAAAAATAAGTACATTCATAGATTCGTAAATGATAAGTAGCCTCCGTTTGAATACCTCAAAAATTTTAGTGATTAGTTATTTCTCGAGAGGATATTCGATGTCTTAGAAGTTATATCTAGTAGATGGTGTTCTTATCGATATGTACTAAGCATATAGCCCCA